GAGTTCAGACGTGTGCTCTTCCGATCTGTAACTATGCAATTTTTAATTAAATTGTTATTTTTTCCTAAAAAAAGTTTATGGGATACTTTACATTTATTATATATACATACATATAATTATTATAAAAATTATATCAATATTTTATCTCTGTCAAGTTTCCTAAATCGTACCTAACCTAACCAGCATAAGGGTTCTTATATCGTATCGGTACAATTTAGAAACACTAATCTTTATTTTTAGATCACATGACATAATCAACATTATTTATTTTAACACGATCGAAATTGCTTTGTAGCAAGTCTGTAGAGGAAAAAACCGTCATCGAGTTGCGTAAGCAAAACAGCTATTGTTTGTAAATTACAATTAAAGTAGGTACTAATTTATGATTCTTTTATTATTCTTGTGTTTTTAATTATTTTCATTCATAAATTCAATAGTTTAAAAAGCGGTACTATTAATAAAACTCACAGGTGCGATTTAGGCGTACTGGTTATGCTGAATCGTGCTTTTGACAGCATGTTGCAAAAAGGCTTAGAACAAATTAATTTGCTATTAGTGAAAGATTTAACATATAATATTAGATGCCTTGAACATCAAGCTACAACATTTCCAACGTTCGTTTGCATTCTAAATAATACCTAATGCGAAATATAATCAAAAATATCTTAAGTGGTACGCATTCGGCAACTCTCCCCTATCTCTCGCGAACGTTTGCCGTACGCGCGGATACGCGCGAGGGCACGCGCTTCATCCCGGTTCTCCAAAGTGCAAACGCCGGGACGACGATATACGTTTTCCGCGATTTACGCCCGAGGTAACGCGGACAGATCGGGCCATCAACCGGGGGACGACGCATTAAAAACTTTAAAACTTGGCCCCTTATCATCCGGGTGTGCAGTATTCCGGGGGCGCTATATACGTGCGCGACTCTTTCCTCACTGCGCGGGGGAGAAGATCCCTCATAACTCCCCGTATGAACGTGTGCTAGTGCATCCGCGGCTGCAACGTCATGTACAAGTGTATATATACGAAAGAATTCCAGCCACCGTGCCACCGTGGAGGGGCGGGGGATGGGCGGGGGAGGGGGACGGATGGGGTGAGGAGGGAGACGGCGGCGAGATGAGGGAGTGGGTTAGATGGGTATTTTACGTTTGAGGGGTTAGTAAGCCCCTGATGTATTACTGGCTGAGCCTGCGGAGTCAGCGCTGCCGGTCCAACAAACCGGACAATCCGATTTTTTTCTCCTCCTCTTCTCTCCTCTTTCTTGCTTTCTATCGGGTCGTCCCGTGCCGCTGCACCGCGCGGAAAGGGAGCCGGAAAAAAAGGGGGAGGCGGGGGGGAGAAACGGATAGACTTGATTCGACTCTCGAAAATGGAAGAGAACGCGGCGTGTCCCTTTTCTTTCCTCCATTCTGTCGTCGCGCGCGCGCGTTTATACGGTTTGCGAGGGCAGTATAGCCAACGATTTTTCCGGGAAGCGATACAAATTGTAATCCTCGCCGGATTGCACCGGGATATTAGTTGCGCGTTGTCTTAATGAAGTATAATGCCGATCGTACTAATTCTCGCAATAAAAATCCGCTGAAATTCCCTCGCGCCACGAGGGAAAAGCGTTCAATTATTATTATTTTTCTTTCTTTCCTTTCCACATCGCGCGTTCGACATTCCATATAATAATTTCATTTTCCGATCATTAATCACACGCGAGATTATAATGATTATCATTGTATGCCGCGTATTTTTACAGCGTATTGATTATTCGGAAAATCACGAGGCGAGATTAATTATGTAACAAACATAACGGTTTGTAATTTGACTGTAATGATTACCGTTGCGCTTTCGCGTTGCGCGTAAAACTAACTAGTGTAGGAGGATTGTTACATTTCCATCTGAATATATTAACATGTATTAATGAAGAAATATTTTGCCGTGTATTATTATTGGGCAATTACAATCATTCATTAGGACGTCCGCGCGATTTCGGCAGAGTAGGCATACAAAATTCGATGTATATACCATACGCGATAATTAATTAATAGTAATTTAATATTTGATGTATATGATCATCTTTGCGGAAACAAATCGTTTGTCCGAACGAGGGTTATTTTATATGTAACCTAAATTACAATTACAATTGTAATTAACCTTTGTACGATCATCAAAGGCAATTAGAATTAACTCACACATTGCGTATTTTTATAATTACACAACGTATTCTTTTTTAATTAAAAAAACTCGAGGAAATTATGTACGAACAAGAGCAAACCAGATACAGGCAAAACAAATGACAGATAAAGCAAGTGATACCTTTAGCATCACGTAAATGAGTAGTAACGTGATGCTTTATATTTAATTATCTGACATTTTAATTGTAAAAATGGTTTTTACATTTTTTTTCGATGTTCCACCCAGAAAATACGGATATGTATTTCCTCGGCTGAATCATTTTAGCTGTAAACGTACCTTCTAAGATAATTAAACCCCAAATCTCATTTAATGAGAATCCACGCCTCTGCAATGCCACGGCAAGATGGCACGTTGGGGAAAACACACTTGCGGTTGCGGAGAGCGCTTACTTTTCTTAATTATATTGGTGTAATAATAACAGCGCAATGTAACGCGAAAAGCGCGCGTCGCGCGATTGTCTTGTCTATATATACAAATTTAAAAATATTAACTCATTTTGCAAACAGCAAATATGCATCTAACGAGAGTAATTATCTCGTTCTTTCGATTGGCGACGAGTTAATTGAAACCGATTCTCGATTCATCAAGTTTCTCTGTATCGGTTTTTTCATTTCAAGAGGGCAATTTTTGAAACGAAATTTTTTTAAACGCGAGAATATAATTAAATTCTTTTTTCCTCGGAACGTGCCTCGTCTCTCTCTCGCATTCCGAGCGCTTCGGCAGATTTTACGTATTCGAGCGCCACGACCGTGCCTCGCTGCACGAATTAAATACCTTTCCCAAAGACGCAACTTGCAAAGGGCGACGACACTTCGATACGAATTTGTCGAATCAAGAAGGAGCGCAAGATGGAACACAAAGGTTGCCGGGAGCAACCCCGAAGTGCTGGAACTCGCGTGGGAGGACGTACGTAGGTGCCATGTAAGTAGAAAGACTCATTATGTAGTCAGCGCGCGCGCGCGCTTGCGGGAGAGACGTCTTCAAAGGCGGAGCCCCCGGTTAGGTACTTCTGCGAATCACGGAAACCGAGGTCAGGCACCGTCTAACTCCGTCGGCAACCAGCGACAACAATAGCGGAGACACCACCCGGCTGTGGTTACCTTAGGCTCATTGTCACCCAACGGCCGGCCCTCCCGGCCCCGCAGGTAGTCGAACTTCCGTCGCGGAAAAGGAAGTTTGGTTTCGCAGTTCCGCGGCGCCAACTTTGGCCTGCAGAATGCAACGGCGGGAAGGGAACGCCGCTCCCTTGTCCCGGCCCGACGAATCTCGACAATCTCGCAAATTGACGGCGGAATCAACATCTGCCAGATAGGAGAACTGCTGAACTGCGTCGCGGAGTGTCGAGTTTAAATGGCAAAAATATATATAGGATAGCGCGTGTTTCGTAATTTTATCGAGATAATTGAATCAATTGGGAATTCGGAATTATTGAAGTTGTTTAAAATTCGTAATCGTATATAACGTTTCGACTGCCATATTTCATTCGACTGTAATGATATTTATCGTTGCGCTTTCGCGTTGCGCGTAAAACTAACTATATAGCGTAGGAGGATCGTTGTACATTTCCATCTGCTAGCAGGAGTAAAAAGAAATTTTTCACGTCGATCACAATAGTTACAGCGACCGCGGAGGGATAACGCATACGTCGGCCGCCCCGCTCGAGCGAGTGGCGGAAAATCCGCGCCGGCAGGTGAGACGAGCACGACTGGCCGCCTTGAATTGGATATTGAAAGTCCGCGAAGTATTGCAATCAAGATCCGATTAATTGCGTTCCTTTGATTTATACGCGGCTCCCGGGCGAAGTTATATAAAGTTAATCCGGACGATTTTCGAAGAGAGGGAGGCAAGAGAGGAGAGAGATGGAGAGAGAGGGGGAGAGGGAGACAGCCGCGACAGTGCAGTCCGTAAAGGACGCGCGGGGCTGAACTGAAGCTCGAGTGGCGGAGGGAGGGCCTTTCAACTTTTTCCAGGAGCCCCTCAAAGAGAGTGCAGCTTTTCAAGGATTGGACGTCGATCGCGGGCGCCAGGTTTGCCGACGCGAGGGGAGAGACACGAGGGGGAGAGAGAGAGAGAGAGAGAGAGCTGAGAGACTCCGACGGAGGGGCGCGGCGGAAAGTCGCCTAGATAGAGCGGCTTTCTTAAATTTCAGTGTACAAACGTCTCGCCGGAGGAGAGACGCGGGACAGCTTTT